CAAGACAAATAAACATTAATTACATGTATAAATACAAAAATAATCGATAATAAGCATCATAGAATATGAACACAAGAAACATGGCAATGCCATGAAACCAGGTTTTCAATTATCACCATTGTAGATAAATATGTTGTATTTGAAATACAAATACAAGCAACAAACAATGTAACTATGTGCAATGTAAAACATGAATAATGTAGGAGGAATTGCCACTGAAGAAGTGTTCACTATAATATTATGTATAAGGAAAAAAACAAAGGGCCATAATTAGGTCAAAAACTATCCAATCACAAAACCCCGACAATATGTGCCAGGGTGCTTGATGACAAAGCTTCTGTGAAAGTTTGAACAAAATCCGTTGAGAAATGTAGGACGAGTTCAGCACAGAAGAATTTGTTCACTATAATTATATTGATAATTCTGTATAATGAAAAACAAGTTACAAAGTAGACATGAAATAATATATCATATCTTTTTTAAATTACCTCCAAAGATGATATGACCTTTGACTGCCAAATCAAGTTAAAATCATGTAAACAGGATTTTCAATGTTAATGTCACTGTGACCTTGACCTTGGAGCCAGCCATGCGGAACATGCGTTCTGCACGTCATCTTGATGTGGTAAACATTTGTCTGAAGTTTCATCAAAATTCTTCAAAGGGTTGAAGAGTTACAGAGCGGACAGGATTTTCAATGTTAATGTCACTGTGACCTTGACCTTGGAGCCAGCCATGCGGAACATGCGTTCTGCACGTCATCTTGATGTGGTAAACATTTGTCTGAAGTTTCATCAAAATTCTTCAAAGGGTTGAAGAGTTACAGAGCGGACACAATTTCGTTTGACGCCCGCCCGCCCATCCGCCCATCCGCCCATCCGCCCGCCATACCCCAATCTAATAACCAGGATTTTCAAAATTGAAAACCTGGTTAACAAGTAATATACTTAAAATCATATAATCTGTTATCCATACTGCACCAAATATTTTTAAAACTAATACATGTTCCCTTTATCAGTCCTATTTTTTACCAATTTTTGAAGACAACAATAGTTAGTATCTAACAAGGGAAGTAACTCAAACAATACATTTTTGTCCATAACATTTTTAAAATAAAATATTTTTCGTTGATTTATTTTTTTGGAAGTCAATTTCAGTTTATTTAAAAATCTTTATTTGTAGATTCTAAAAGTTATTTAGTTGACAAAAATAGAAAATATTTTCACAACCACAGTGTGAATTGTCTATTTCATCTTTTCTTTACACAAATGTGTAAAAATCTATGAGAGTGTATGTAAAATTACTGAGTTTTTGAATCTGAAGTTAAATGCTTAAATCAAATGGTTAACTGTACTGCTACCATTCTTTAAATAAGAAAATTATCTTGGTAATGAACTGCACCATTACTTTCTTATGTCTTTTCTCTAACAAAATCCGAACTAAAAAATACCTGCAGTAAACAGTTCTATGCACCAGTCATTTGTTACCTAGTCCCTTCATGCCCATAGGACTGTAGGGGTAAAATGAGCCTTGTTTTAATGTACATTATTTATTTGCTTTCCCTCCTACTGTTAGCATTGTTTCCATGCCAAAGAAGTGGGGGATAAAGCCTATATAACTTCTCATGTCATTTGACCAAAATATTTCTATCTGAGTGTTCCACTCACAGCCTACGTATTACCAGGGACTTACTAGATTTGTCCGACAATGGGGAGAACAGGGCTACAAATGACAGGTGCTTTATCATTTTGATCTGATGCTTCCATATCATGTTGGAAGTTGTCCCTGTTTTTTTTATATTTTGTTTTTAACAACATCAACACTACTTGGAATGACAAGACCTTAAATATATTGCATTGAAAAAAAGGTAAATGTGGACAACAAATTCACAGTATGCTGCAATTCTTTCAAGTCTGACAAGCAATATAACTTTAAATGCAATTAACACACCTGATAACTAGCAACTGGTTTATTTATTCATTAAAAAGAAAAAAGAAAAATTATCAGTCTGGCATAAAAATATCTATATTACAAACTGTTTTGTTCTAAATTGTGAGATTCAATATTCAATTTAAAAATCTTATAACACAAACAAATGATATCCATAATCCTGTTCAAATGACAAAACATGGCTGTAAATTATCAATAAATTATACTGCACATTGTGTAATTTTTTTCATAATAATCTAAACATGATATGTCTTATTCTAGGCTATAAAAAGATTTGTTTAATGAAAAATCATTATTGACAGGGGCAGAGACTCCATAAATTAATAGGAGATACATGTATTACAATAAAAGGCACTACTAAAATGTATATAAGCAGTAAATTTAACAAGTCTTTTTTTCAATTTAGTTCTTACGCAATGTATCTTTTCTTAAATACTTTCTTTCACTGCATGAAAAGTCTCGTCAAAAAGCAACAAATTGCAAAACAAAACAAGAGGGCCATGATGGCCCTGAAGTCGCTCACCTGTATATAGGCCCCCGGAGCGGGGCCAGTTTAAACCCCAGGGCTTTTATTTGAACAAACTTGGTAGACACCCATTAGAAGATATTTCATGCTTAACATCTAAGGTCTAGCTGGTCAAGTTTTTTTCTTTACACATATAGTTAAAAACAATGACATACCTGGGGCAGGGCCAGTTTTGACCCAAGGGCTTTTATTTGAACAATCTTTGTAGACACTTACTAGAAAATGTTTCATGCTTAATATCTAAACTCTAGCTATTCGGGTTTTTTCAAAGAAGACTTTTTAGTTTTTGCTATACACATATAAGGAAAATCAATGTCAGCCCGGGCGGGCCCAATTTTGACCCCAGGGCTTTTATTTGGACAAACTTGGTAAACATCCATTAGAACATGTTTCATGCCAAATATCTAAGCTCTAGCTCTTTGGGTTTTTTAGAAGAAGATTTTTTAAGTTTTTACTATATGCATATAGGGAAAATCAATGACCCCCTGGGGCGGGGCCAATTTTGACCCCAGGGCTTTTATTTGAACAATCTTGGTAGACACTCATTAGAAGATGTTTCATGCTTAATATCTTAGCTCTTGCTCTTTGGGTTCTTTAAAAGAAGCTTTTTTTTAAGTTTTTATTATATGCATATAGGGAAAATCAATGACCCCCTGGGGCGGAGCTAATTTTGACCCAAAGGCTTTTATTTGAACAAACTTAGTAGACACCCATTAGAAGATGTTTCATGCTAAATATCTTAGCTCTAGCTCTTTCGGTTCTTTAAAAGAATTTTTTTTAAGTTTTTACTATATGCATATAGGAAAAATCAATGACCCCCTGGGGCGGGGCCAATTTTGACCCCGGGGCTTTTATTTGAACAAACTTGGTAGATATCTATTAGAACATGTTTCATGCTAAATATCTTAGCTCTACCTCTTTGGGTTTTTTAAAAGAAGATTTTTTAAGTTTTTACTATATGCATATAGGGAAAATCAATGTCCCCCTAGGGCGGGGCCAATTTTGACCCCAGGGCTTTTATTTGAACAATCTTGGTAAACACCGATTAGAAGATATTTCATGCTAAATATCTTAGCTCTAGCTTTTTGGGTTCTTTAAAAGAAATTTTTTTAAGTTTTTACTATATGTATATAGGGAAAATCAATGACCCCCAGGGGCGGGGCCAATTTTGACCCCAGGGCTTTTATTTGAACAAACTTGGTAGACATCCATTAGAACATGTTTCATGCCAAATATCTAAGCTCTAGCTCTTTGGGTTTTTTAGAAGAAGATTTTTTAAGTTTTTACTATATGCATTTAGGGAAAATCAATGACCCCCTGGGGCGGGGCCAATTTTGATCCCAGGGCTTTTACTTGAACAATCTTGGTAGACACTCATTAGAAGATGTTTCATGCTTAATATCTTAGCTCTAGCTCTTTGGGTTCTTTAAAAGAAGATTTTTTTAAGTTTTTACTATATGCATATAGGGAAAATCAATGACCCCCTGGGGCGGGGCCAATTTTGACCCTATGGATTTTATTTGAACAATCTTGGTAGACAGTCACTAGAAGATGTTTCATGCCAAATATCTAAGCTCTAGCTCTTTGGGTTTTCTAGAAGAAGATGTTTAAAGTTTTTTCTTTTGGTTGCCATGGCAACCAGAGTTCTGCATGGAATGGAATTCTTTGAACAACTTTGTTAAGGCTTCACACAAGGAACATCCCTGTGAAGTTTCATTAAGATCTGCCTTATGGTTTCAGAGGAGATGTCATTTGATAAGTGTGAACGGACAACGTACGACGGACGACGGACGAAGAGTGATCCTAATAGCTCACCCTGAGCATATGCTCAGGTGAGCTAAAAACAAAAAAAACAAAGGGACACAACTCTATCAATATATTGACCTAAATAAGTGATTCTTTAACAGAGCAAAATGGTGTGTACTGAAATGGTAAAAAGTTTTTGGGTTTTTTTTTTCATTTTAAATAACTTAGACAAAAAATCTTTGTAAACTTTGTATTTTTGAACAGCACATGTTTCTTCAAATTTATCTGTAAATTTAGAAAGATCAAGGAAAATGTTAATTAACAAATTCAATATTTCCCTACTCAGTGTTCAAGAGAATGACTAAAATTATGTGGTTTAAATGTTTAACATGAGAAAAAATCTAATACTTAAGCTAGTTTTGATTAAATGCCAAATAAAGAAGCAACAAAGTTTTTTTTATTCATATCCTAAAAATATGACAGGAACAAAAAAGTAAATGCTTAAATAATATCAATATTGCACACAAAATAACCAATGGCACAGACATATATACAATTCTATATATTAATCTCCATGCCAATGGTAGATTTAACATATATGACAAAACAAATTATCTAGCAAACACAGGCTTTGTTCAGCTATATTTAACACAAAATTGTTACAAATCTTTGTTATACATACAGCAACTTTGTAAAACTATGACAAAAGTAAGAATAAAATCAGTCACCTTATCTGTAATACGGTAAGTTGTGAGACTAAGTCTAATTTGTGAACTTCCTTTATTACCGGTATTTATATAACAACTAAAACTCCGCAAGTCGGATGTATCGCCTTGTGAACAATATACATGTAGTTTAGAAGAAATGGCCAGGACAAAAATAAATTATGAAAATTAACAAAGGGCGATAACTCAAAAAATAAGAAATGCAGAGCAGCAGTTTCTGTGCACTGCCCTTCTTATCAATAAGATCTATCATCCTATGAAGTTTCAAGTCCATAGTTTTTATAATTTATGAGAAATGGCCTAGACAAAAATAAAGTACGAAAATTAATAAAGGGTAAATACTCAAAAATAAGAAGTGCAGAGTACCTGTTCTTGTACACTGCACTTATTCTTAATGAGATATATCATCATATGAAGTTTCATGTCCATAGCTTTTTTACTTTAGGAGAAATGGCCCGGACTAAAATAAAGTAGGAAAATTAACAAAAGGCAATAACCCAAAAAATAAGAAATGCAGAGTACCGGATCTTGTGCACTGCACTTCTTCTTAATGAGATCTATCATCCTATGAAGTTTCAAGTCCATAGCTTTTAAACATTAGAAGAAATGGCCTAGACAAAAATAAAATATGAAAATTAACAAAGGGCAATAACTCAAAAATTAAGAAGTGCAGAGTACCAGTTCTTGTGCACTGCACTTCGGATCATTATAAGAAGCATGCATACCAAGTTTGAAGTCAATCCCACTTATAATGACTGACTTATGCTCCGGACAAGCTTAAGGGGACGCCGACACGGACGCCGACAAAAGTAACCCCTATATGTCGCCTTTTTCAAGGCGACACAAAAATTACTACATATACATGTTATAATCTATTTCTATAAATTACAGTGTATTATACATTGTTCATTTAATCAATATGTCTCTGTATTTCATAGGAACGAAGAGTCTTTGTACAAGTTAAATTAAAAGGGTATAAAGCTATTTTAGGCAGACATTAATTAGACCTTTCCATTGTTTAAAGTTTCAGAGCCGGCAAAGCCTGATTTTAAGTTACTTGCCCATTTTTTACCCTAAGCATTTCTTAACTTGTCTGTATGATATTTATATAGTAAATTCTTGAAAATTTCCATTTGTCCTTACAGGCTGTGGGACAACCTGGGCAATACAGAAAATTAATTATGCGAGCCCCTGGAAAAGTTCTATTCAAAATGGCTGACTGGCAATCCAATTTCTACAATGGAATATTACAAACTCACTGCTTGACCTGTTTTTACAAAGAACACATGATTTTGTTTGTGGTACTGTTTTTGACTATTGACTTAGCAATGACAAAAAAAGGCGGGGCTAAATTTTTCTCTGCTAAAAAATGGAAAAGTCTATTGGCAAGAATAAATGTAATTTATTGAAAAAAAATTACACCAAAATAAAATAATTGAAATAATTATATTTTAAAGAAAAGGAGAGATTTAAATCTGCCATTCTTTGCAAAATCTACCTAAAAATAGCAGTTGAATAGTTTGCTAGGGAATATTATATCCAATTAACTTAAAACTAAATTACAAAGACAATCGCTATTAAAACTTTTTTTGGAAATAATGAAAGGCTAATAAAGGCTATTTTAACAATTTTATAGTAGTTTATGAAATGTACATAGTGTTATTATTCAACAATAATAGCTTTAAACCCTTTACAAAACGTGGATATGTTATTAAATACATAAAACTTCTATTACATAAGGATTATATGATGAAAGACATTTACTTGATCAGAATACAGATTGTGCAACAATTACACTGTACATGCAATATTACTTGTAACACATGGCAACATTGAGTATATCTTGATGTAACATAATCAATGAAATAAATATCACGATAATCTACCCTCTTTACATTGGGATACAGTCAATATGACAATTTAAAGGCCCATTATGCCCCAGCAGGGATTTTTTTGGCTTATTTTATAGCCGTTATTGGGTCATATTCCCAATTGAAAATAGTATATTATTTTCCCAATCCACAGAAAAATATTCCCAATTGAAAGTTACAAAATAAAAATATTGAATAAGAATTCTAAAATATTTGCAAATAAGGAATTCTTCACTGTAATAGTGCTTAGATGTTTGAAAATGCCATCATAGACAGTAATTTAATCACTGCAAAATTTCAGTCATGCATTTTTTCCCAATTTTTAACAAAACACCGCTGATATTCCCAATTCCATTGGTATGGGTTGTGTTCCCAAAATTCTGGAAAAAAATCCCTGCTCAGAAATGCTATCATCTTTACCTCTTAAAAACTGTTTATTTTTGGTAACTTGTTGTTTCAACAAAAATATTCATTTGCCACATAGATGAACTATCTTTTGCGTTCTTTGCTCTATTGACAATTGGTATAGTTATAGTGCATTAGTATTTTGTATGGAAGTCAAAATACTATTTTGTTAAAAAATTTGATACCCTTATAACACATTACCACTCATTCTGCACTGCTTTCTTCTGTAGTTAAACATCTAACACACTCTAAAATTCATTATTAAAACTTTAATATAAACACAGGTTTGACATTTCTAAACAATTGAAAATATGGATTTTTGAGGCATAATGTGCCTTTCAAGACCTTTACATTGGTAACAAGCAGTCTATGTAAACTTAAAAGCTTTAGTTTATATGGTATCTTATATCCTGTAGATTTTAAGAGTTTAATAACATTTAATCATCTGATATTTTATCACAAACTGCAAAATATGTTGCAGAACTGTTCACCTGCCTAACACCTGGTTGCAAAATAAACACCTTTTTTAACCAATATGGTAAACACTTAAAGATTCAGTCAGACCCTTTTCTTCAAGAAGAGAAATTGCACTTTTACTTTGAAAAACTATATTTATGTAGCAGTTTGGTTTTGTTGTTACATACAAGTATGTGGATCAATACAGTTTATTCTCAGTATCATTTACAAATTATCAGGAGGCATGAAGTAAAAATAATCCTGCCAAGAATTCTAATGCACATGCTAGACTGGCAAACATTGATGCCCACTTCATCTCTGGATATTTGTCAACCTCTCTGGGAAAGTCATTTATGATATAATAGAATAAATAAAGTCCTCCAGACATGGCAAAGGCTGAAATGAAATAAAATAAAGTTCAAAACACAAGCATTCTGTTTTACTTGACAAGTAGTTCTTTCTTAAACAAGCTATTGTCAGACAGTCAACCGAAAAAGAAAAAAAAAGAAATAAATAAATAAAAAAAATTTGAAAGATCAACATTTTCAAAACAAATACTTCGACTCTAAGCATCCAGTGTTCTCAAGTACTCTCATATTGAGTATTTTACCTACATATGATATATGTCCTCATCACTCCTGGTTTCAATTTTTTTTTCTTATATATCACTTACCAAGATGGTAAAAACTCATGAAAACATTTTTAACCCTTTTTTCAAAGAGAAAGTTTTGTTTATTTGTTTTGTTTTGTTGGGTTTTAATTCACACCAACAATTTAAAGGTCAAATGGTAGCTTTCCACCTTTACTGATGGAGGAAGACCTGAGAGGTGCACCTCCATTATTTCAGGCGCATTGAAAGATTATCATTGACAAGCTGGCATCAAAGTGGAATTTACAATGTTTCATCAGTTAGCTGGATAGTTTCCTCATATGAAATAATCCAGAATCCATGACAGGATTCAAACACAAACGTGAAGGACAAGTGGTTCGAAGTCAACAACCTAAACCACTCAGCCTCAAAAATGTAGAGAGAACAGTGAAGTATCTTATCTCTTTGGTTTCAAATCGGCATAATGTCAAAACATGGAAAAAATATCATAACTGAAACTCAAAATTACTCCCCCCCCCCCCCCCATTTCATATTTTTTTCATAAAAACAGAAAATTCATTTAAATTGTATACTTTCTACTTACCAGAGGCAAAACAAATAAATGCAATAGCATTATTTCTATTTTTTCTGAGTATTCTTGGAATTCTGGAGTCCATGCTATCCGATATAAGCATGTAGATTGACAAAGCAAGACAGGCCCAAGCAAAAACACATACAAGCTGCAGAAGATGATAAAAACCTGAAATATGAAAATATTAAGTAAAAAACTTGTAAAAATCTACATATTTGACTACCCATCTAGACATGTATACTTTATGTTTATCTTTTTGAAATTTAATATTTTTAGTGTTTTACTAATAACTGTTACACCTGCTGAATTTCTTAAATGGACTTGGTCCATATTTGGAACTGACCATTATCATTTTTTGGGGTATTAAGATGAAAGTTTAATTAGTCAGCCAACAGTACAGAGCTGTCCATTATCATTTTTTGGGGCATTAAGATGGAAGCTTGATTTGTTAGCCAAGAGTACAGAGCTTGACTGCACAGGAGTCAAGGATTTTCTGTGGTCTCTACTAGTGACATTTGAATGATTTTATTTCAAATATGAGTGAATGTTGAACAAACATTTGTAAATTGTCAAACATTTGTAAATTGTCAAATCATTTGTTAAAGTATACAAATAAACAAGAGCCGATGGTAAACAGTGCACTTGACTATTCTCTTGTTTGCTAGTAAAACAAGAGCCTGAAATTATAATGTATAATCTTTCAAGTTTAAAAAGAGCCTTTATCTTCAAAATCCATGTTAGAGTTAAGGGGCTTGGATTCAAATAAGTGAGTAAAGTTTCAACCCATCCCCTCAATAGTTTTGGAGACTCGCATGCAAAAACTTAACCAAAGTGTGACGGTGATGCCAAAGCCAGGTTGGGTACAATCTCTCTCCTATTCTTTGAATTCACGAGTTAAAAATCATGAAAACTTTTAAAATCATCGGGATGAATTATAGGAAATTCTAACACGACCCGAATTTTTCCCTATTGAACATAGAAGAACCGAAAGTGTGTGTTATTATGCTATAAAGTCACTGTTTGACGTTCTATATTTAGACATGTGACACAATCATTTTACACATGACGTAACCACTTAAAATGTAATGCGCTGACAATAAGTACGGAAACAAATCAGGTGCAATTTTGCTTAATATCAGGTACGGCAGAATTTATTTGTTGATGTCGTGTTAGAATCAAAATAATATATCCAAATCGGTGATTTATCGCTTGATAACATCACTGTTTGGAGTTCGGATGCGCATCATTATATCACTCAGGCTACGCCCTCGTGATATAATTCGTCGCAGCCGAACTCCAAACAGTGATGTTATTGAGCGATAAAATCACTGTTTGGGATATATTATTTCTTAAATAACAATATAATTACCTGGTTCATTGGTAAAGAAGGCTGGTACATAATGACATTCATCCAAAAGATCACAAAATTTGGCATAAAACAATCCATACCAGGCAACACCAGGTAACTCGAACCAGAAGTGAGTTGATGCTGCAACTGTATACATCACATTAGCAGGAAATAACAAAGCTAATGAGATTTTTTCATATCTTCCCATTTTGTGAAGTCTCAACATTAAGTTTGTTAAAACAGTTTGTAGAATCATTGCAAATTATGTCACATGGATGTGTGTTTAAACATCAACTTTCAACTGACAAAGAAAATTATATGTTGAATAATTGTTAATCACTTTATAAATCAACAAAAGACATCTGTTTCTTAAGTCATTGTCTTCATTTTAACTTCTTTCATCTATCACAACGTCAGAATCTAATATTATATTGGGTTGTAATAGAATGCGAAATGGACTCCATTTCGCGAAATGAACTTACCGCCTACGAAATGGACATTTGTTTGTTTAACCATGATGAGTAATATTATTTTTATTAATTTATGTTTAACATATGACATAAAACTACAGATTGAAACAGTTAAAATTACTATTTTCCTATTTTATAGTCATATTTCTGAAAATAATCTGGCCTCTACGAAATGGAGTTTTCGGCCACGAAATGTCCAGAGTTTTCGCTTACGGAATGGACATTTGCTTTACAAATTATGGTGTAACTGACATGTCACAAAGGGTATCTTTTCTATTCACTTACGTTTATTCTGGGACGACAAAAATATTTTTGTCCCAGGTTAAACATATGATATATAAAACAGAATCTTTCTATTTGAAAGACCATGTATAAAACACTGAACTATGTGGCATTATTATACGATTATACGATTATTTTCAAAATGTAAAAGCATAAATAATGAAAAAAATATTAACAAAATTGTTTAAATCGTAATTTTATGTCATATATCACTTGTTCATTATTAAAATAGTACACTTAAACCAAAATTAAAGAGACAAATGTCCATTTCGTAGTCGAAAAGTTCATTTCGCGAAATGGAGTCCATTTCGCATTCTATTACTACCGTATTATATTTAAAAATAAAAGTAAATACACTGAACATTACATTTGGTCGAAAATAACTGCTATCCGAATAATAACAAGTTTGCTAACACCTGACTTTAGTTCAAATAAGGCACAACAACCATATGTCAATAAATATCCGCTATGCTGACTGTATATAATTGGTTAATTTGTGAATTAATATGAATTTGTATCAACTAACAGCTGTTTCATTTTGATTAAATTCATTCGTTTGATACTGTTGTTGTTGTTGTAGGTTTCACGCTACTAAATATTTTTCTCGCGCGCACTATTAAACTCGTACTCAAATTAGGTCGCGTCCAGAATACCTTTGAAATCGATTTCTCCTCGTCTTGAGATATTCACTCCGTTTGAAAAATAGATAGACTCCTATATTATTAAATAACGTGAACGATATTATGCTTTTTTAAATTTCATTTTTCTTAGAATAACTAGATAACTATATAAGTACTCATTGGTACAATGAGCAATAAGACCTCAATTGTAAATGGTTTGATTATTATTTTACAATTTTTAAAACACCATATTACACGGAACATTTTTTTTTGCCGTGAAATAATTGTGTTATATAAAGGACATTTGCCTGGATCAGGTTAGGTGGTTTTGTTTGTTTCTTTTTTTACTCCTTAATTATATGCTTTAGTTCGTTTTTGTTTCAAAGTCGATGTTGTGTTAGCTGTTCATAATCGAGTTTAAGTTAGGTACATGTTTATTTAGTTATGTACATCTTGTATAATATTATTATTGTATGTCTGATAAGAACCATGATCGAAAATTACGTTATTTCTATTCTTTCTTTTTTTAAATGAAAAATAAAAATATTGATCACTACTATATATATCGCCTCTGTTAATATATTTCCCCCAGTTCATATCCCATCATATTCGCCAACTAAAATTAAAAGTCCATATGTGTAAATAATCACCATAATATCTTTGTAGATGTAAATTCTTAATTCTGTCAATATTTGACAAAAAAAAAAAAATTTTGTTTACTCGGAAATGCGTATAAATTCAACATAATTGTCTAAAAAGGAAATGTATAAAATGAATGAATATTAAGATAAAGGAAGGAAAGATAGCAATCTTTCGCTTCGTTTAATATAATTGTGTGTGTCGACAATTCATTTGAATAATGCTGAATTATTAGGATTTGTTCCTTGGCCGAAGTTCAAAATTAAGTTGATTAAGTCACATTGTCTTTCTGAAATCCATCTGTTTAAGCAAAAAAAAGGCTTTTCCAGTTTTTCATATTGGGAATGACAAAGCTAACTTTCATGTACAATCATTTTTGTAACGTAAATTTTCAATTTTATATGCATAGTACATATAATTGAAACAGTTTGTAAATTAAGACAGTTAATCAATGGGTGTACCTTATATATTTAGAAATACTGATGAATTAAACACTTTATAGGCCAAACATGTTATCTAGGTTAGGTTACAAACAGAGTGGAAACAGCTCGAGTTTTTCTACAAACTTTATTGTAAATATTTTGTAATGTACAGTTCTACGCTTACATACAGAAAATAAAAAACATATTTAAACGATATTGCAATAGTTAGTAAAGTAAAAATGTTCATACGTATTAAGTAATATTAAACACATATTAATAAATCAATTAACCATCATACGGATCCAGATCGAGTGACATCTAGACCATATGCTTAATTTGTATTAACAGCCCGATTTCCGAAATTTTTTGTAATGTACATTTTCAAAATCATTAGTGAGTCATTTTTGAAAATCTACCCGTCATGGGTGTTAACTAATACATATGACAACATATAATGACATATTTAAACATTATAGGGGCCGAGAATGTCATCGAGGCTGTCTGGACGTCGAATCAGTTCGAGTTTGTTTCCATTCACCAAAACTTCAGCCGGTCTTGCCTGAAAATACAACGAACTTGAAGTCTTCGAAAGGTTGTAATGAATAAATTAAAAATAGTACACCTAACAATGGATCAAACAAAAACATTTAATATAATCCTTTAACTTTAGATACACGAGTATACATTGTACATGTATAAGTACATGTTAGATCTGATCACGCCAAAATAAAAAACAAACATTTCAAATTATATCACTTTGGACAGATACATACACACGTTAGATTATATCACTCTAAATAAAAGTACACTTACTTAAGATCATATCTTTTAAGATAAACATGCAATTTACGTCAAATCACTCCTATTATAGGATCATTTCTTTCATGATAAAGTACACTTTACCTAGCTAATATCACTACATAGCTGTCAGTATACATATTAGGGTCATATCTTTCAAGATAAAAGTATACTATACGTTATATCACTCTAGCTGTACGTACACATAAGATCATATCTTTCAAAATAAAGTGCACTTTACGTCATATCACTCAAGATATTAAGTACACGTTAGATCTTGTCATTGTAAATAACAGTACAAACTACACTATATAACTCCAGATATAGAGTTCAAGTTAGGTTATATCACTTCAGATATAGAGTTAAAGTTAGGTTATATCACTTCAGATATAGAGTTCAAGTAAGGTTATATCACTTCAGATATAGAGTTCAAGTTAGGTTATATCACTTCAGATATAGAGTTCAAGAATGATTATATCACTCCAGATCAAGAGTTCAAATTAAGTTATATCACTTCAGATATAGAGTTCAAGTTAGATTATATCACTCCAGATATAGAGTTCAAGTTAGGTTATATCACTTCAGATATATAGTTCAAGTAAGATTATATCCCTCCAGATATAATGTACAAGTTAGGTTATATCACTTCAGATACGTAGCCATGGTCATCAGGGGCGTAGCCAGCTTTTTTCAACTTGTAGGCATATAAAAGGGGGTCTGGGGGCTTAGCCCCCATAGGCCAAAAACAAGTTCAGATTGAAAAGAGCAAAATGCGCGTTCCAAAGTATGTTCTAGGAAAAGTATCAAAGCAATGCTTTTAAACTACATGTATGAATTTGATTAAATGCAAATTTACTGGGGATGGTAAATCATGCACACATCCTTGATTATACTTAACGGCTTGAACACGCTACCAACACCTTCCTCGAATGTTTTTATTGTATTTTGGGACTTCTAAAAATGTCAATTTCTTGCCTACATGGGCTTATAGTAGCTACGCCACTGGTCATTCTTCAGACAGTCACTAAACTATAGCTATCCATAGATTTTGTCTCCGTTTGGAAATAAAATATTTTGTGCTTGCGTACACAAGACAGACAAAATAAATTACTTCTTTTGCTTCGCCGCACATACTAAGCCTAATAAGAGCGACACTGTAACAAACATTCAGTATTCAAATGGCATCACTGGCCATAAAATATTCTATTCGTTAGCTTGATTGGATACTTAAGCAGTCTGTATGATTCCTTTATGTTTTAATATGAGGTAATAAAGAAGAAGATTATTATAGTAAGAATACATGATTTCCATATTAACATTGACTTCTCGAGACAATTTACATTTTATCTGTTTTAGGTATACACATGTGATTTTAAGGTCTTCGGTCAAGAATAGACTCATATGACATGCATGACATCCGATGCACACCCATGCATACATATATAAGAGTCTGAAAGAAATTTTCGTGAGCCGACTTTCTTAAGCTTCACTGTGAATTCACCGTCTTTTATCAGAGATTTCTCCCGGTAAGTTACCTTAATGAATTCCCTTGTGGAAAAAAAATTTAAAAAAATAAAACATAAATAAATCGGAAAATATTCGTACCTAAGTGTCAAATTGGTCAATATAATTTATGAAATTTGCAAAACCTAAGGTATTTTACATGTACATATTTTCCCTTTTTTCTTTTGTTTTATTCTATATGCCAACTGGATTCTTTTGATTAAGTACATATAGGGTTTCAGGTTGAATTGAAATACATACCCTCATGTTATAGTTAGATCCCATTGATGAGCAGTATGCGCCCGCATCAAACACCGCCAGTGTGCAACCTTCGTGTGGCGTTGTCAAATATCGATCCTAAAATGAAAAAGTTCCTTCTAATGGTCAACATTTTAGAATTGCGCCGAATTAAATTAGTAAAATTAAGTCTAGACATCGCTACAGAAATAAACAATACATATTCAAGAACAGGTATTTTCTATAAAAAGATTTAATCAAAGTTATATACTCAAATACTTGTTAGATACATTGTGGGCCTCAGTGATCAAGCAACGTTTCTTAGTCTTAAACCACCCAACGTTAACTGCAGCAAGTTCGATTCCAGATGAAGACTGTAATTAACTGACGGTACAGACTTGGTGCTCGATCACTGTGAATACCGTGTAGCTAGTTACCCATCCACAAGTAGATATGCGCATAGTATATCAATTGATCCAGTGTAATTAATCAATTTCTTACTTTGCTGGTTACCCTAGTTCATAGTTCACTTTTACCTTTCCGAGAAAGTCGCCACTCTCGCAGACTGGTCCAACAACATCATATAACATTTTGTGAGCGTCCTCTACTTGTGATGGTTCACAGATATCGACATGATGGTAAGCACTGTATAACGCTGGCCTTATAACTTCAGTCATTGACCCGTCCACTACGATGTATCTACAAAACGTACAATAATATCATTTTGAAATATGATTTATTGCATCGAAACTGCGCGCGCAGAAGCTTTGCAACATGAAATGGAACCAGTGTCAGTATTTCAATGAACGGTTTGTGTCTTTCATTTCATTGTTAGCTCTTTATTATGGTGGGAAAACTTTCATCAACACTGTAAAAATATAAAGATATACAATGTATACTTCTTGCTTTCAAACAAATTCTAAGAATAATAACCGTTTTGGTTCACTTTTCTTGACTCCAAGAACTGAGGTAAGGAGAATACCAGCGTTGGCAATAAGTGATCGGCCAGGTTCGAGTATGAGGGAAATATCTTTATCCCCTAGTACTTCGTCAATGACCTTTACAACGTCTGCTGGTGTCGGTATTACGAGCGGTTTTGTTTCCATGCCGTTAATTGTTTCTGGATCCGTTGTCATAGCAATCTGTAATGGAACAGAATACCTCATTGTGATATGTCTTAAAGGTAGCAAATGTACATGTAATACATTTTTGAAAAAGATAAAAACAACAACACTTATTACCTCCAAAAAAGTAAATATAACCACGAAAGATCAAACAAGCCAAAAACAAATAAACCAGAAAAATAACAACATAAGTTAACAAAATCAAACAATGCTTATCGTTATAATTAAGCGTAGTGACTTGTAACCGATAAACTTGTTTTGTACCGAGTTGGCGACTAGAGTTCTCCTTTATATGTAAATTTGTGATATGGCATAAATAGATCCAGAACATGAAACATGAAAAGAAAATGCTATGTGGCTGGGCAATATGTTGACATTGCTGGTGGCTTCATACGAAGAAGTGCAAGGGGAAGGAACTCCAGACTAGAGGCTTCGTTCTTTGATCATTGTTCTCCCTTGTTGACATTTGAGCCGCGTCACGACAAAACCAACATAATGCGTTTGCGACCAGCATGGATCCAGACCAGCCTGCGCATCTGCGCAGTCTGATCAGGATCCATGCTGTTCGCTTACAAACCCTATAACAAGTAGAGAAACTGATAGCGAACAGCATGGATCCTGATCAGACTGCGCGGATCCATGCTGGTCGCAAACCCATTATGTTGGTTTTGTCATGACGCGGCTCATTTTATTTCATGTAATATTAGAAAATATGAAAATAGTTATTCTTCCACTTTATCAATGATGCAGTGCGTCTTTTAAACAGCATTTCGTCAATGCCATTGATTCCATGAAAAGGAAGCAAAATTCAATGTTTTTGCCAGTCACTCACATGCTTTGTGTAGTCTATGCCAAGTCCACCTCCTAGGTTGATGTACTTCATGTGTTCGAATCCCTCGTTCTTCAGATTAGAAAAAAGCTGCGACATCATCTCGGTGCACTCTCTAAAAATATAAATTGTAGTGATGTAGAAATACAACCGAATAAAACATGCAAAATAGCATAAATCACTTTTGTTCATTCAATTATGAAATATGTCAAATACCTACATATATTTTGTAGATTTGCCATGTTTTTTATCTTTGACCATGAATTGAATTGCAGAACAGAACAGAAAATTTATTACTTGGTTTAAGCATAACAAGCTAATCACCATATTACATATACAAATACAACATATAATACATAAATGACACATGGTATGAACATATTATTTTAAAGATACCTTAAAACATTATAAGTCACTGAAAATCGAACATCTCCGTTCCTTTATAGATAATTACGCAAAACTAAAACAACAATAATACATAAAATATAAACATTACTAAGTTTTCACTTTGTCTGTAATAATCCTCTGTCTATGAAATCCAACATATATTTTGCTTTAATTACAAATGTACTCAAATGATATTAATAACATAATTTTTTGTTAGGTTAGTAATTATATTCATGTTGTTCTTCATCTTACCGGAAAATTCCAATGTCTGTGATGGTTGACCCTAGATGGCAATGAATACCAACAAGTTGTAGCAAAGGTTCAGACTCGATCTCTCTGAGGACATCATTCAAGTCTTCTTTCTGAATACCGAATTTAGATCCCCCAATTCCTGTCGAGTTGTATTTGTGAACCATCTGGAAGTTAATAAATATACCTTGTAAAATTTCTTTTCTTTTCTTTTTATTTTTGCATATTTTACATTTTAATGTTTCGAAAAGAATGTGATCTATTTCATATGATTACCGTATTTCGCAATGCTTTCAGGCAAACGGTATGTTTTCATAATTTGTGAAAAACTTCTGTTAAGGTAAAAGTTTCCATTCCGATGAAAATTCAGACCATTTGCAAAATGCTTTAAAGCTCACTTATATCATTTAGTTATATCGTTAATATATTATAAGATTACCAGACTTTGACGTATTTTATCAAAATTGAACCTTTATGTTTTTTAACCAGTCGCATCTACTAACAAGCGTCATGGAATTATTTGAATAGCGCCTTGCTAATTTGAATAAGGACCACTTTGAAACAGTAACGATTGCAGTAATATATGCCAACGATTCTGATATACATGTATAAGCATTTTGTTGTGTGTTGTGGTAGCTTGTCTGATGTCAGTCTATGTTTTGCTTTGTGAATGAAACACTTGATACAAGGTTGCATAATTAAAATAGTAACAACCAAGCTAAGAATTGTAGAATTGGTAAAATAGGTTGATTGGAACATTAAAGACACATTAAGGTCCCGAAATGCTTACCTTTTTATTTCTTTTTTTATTTCTTAATTATTTTTCTTTTATCTTGTAACAGTTTCCTGGTTGTTACTCATTGGCCATATGGAAGACATATCTTTTGTTTCTTTGCTCCTTAGCAATTTGTAAAATAAACGTGATTTAATATAATTTTGTAGGGAAGTCAAAATACTACTTTGTTTACATTTTGCTACCTTTATGATGCATTACTACATGTTCAGGGTTATTTTTACTTTGTTTAACATGCTCTAAAACCATTTTTGAAACATTATTTAACAAGCTTGACATTTCTAATGAATAAAAAAATGATTGATTTCTATAGCATGTTGTGCCTTTAAAGGTCGCCCAACGAGTTCAAAATGTTGCAGACTCGGTTTAATTGAGTCTGTTCAGGTTAAAGCGCGCTGACCTACGTCTGTATTCGGTAAGATTTCCGTCTTTTTAAAATCGGGTATTGCATGCACAAACTTTGATACAGAGCATTTGTGATAACATTAAGTAAATTTCAAAGAAAATTTAAATAACATTAACACAACTATTGTTTAATTTTTATCTTTCGCCATCAGCTAGTATTTAAACAGCTATTGCATTCACTGGGATAAAAACGAATAACATGGTTATCATTCACAAGTGGTTTAGTGTAGCAGATTTATTAAAGTTGCAAAAAAAAGGAAAACGGAGTCCACTTAAGAACACTAAAAAGGCAAAATTGAACAGTTGAATTGAGACTGTTGGTAAGCTACTGTCCACGCCCCATACACCGGCTAAAGCGGTTTTCAACCGGCCATGCCACCTAGCACCGGCTGAAGCGCTATTCAACATCGTGCAAAAATTACGCCTACGCCCCAGTAGCACCGGTTTAAACGCTATTCAAAATTGTGTAAGCTACCGTCCACTCCCCCTGGCATCGGCGTAAGCTCTAATCAACATATTTATGCATTTGGAATTAAGAAATATTCGTAGCGATGAATGTGACGCTTAAACGAAAAAAATGGACAGAAAAGAAAACAAAATGGAATAATGAAATGGCAATAGATGTTTGAAAGCCTGTATTTCAGAGTGTACAGTAGTCCATTTTGTTCGCACTGATCTCTTTCGTAAAACTAAAAAATAGTAAAGTTAAATATGCAATATCTGTTGCATGAAATGAAACAGTTTCATAACGTGGTGTATAGGTACTATTACAGAATGCCGTTAGGGCCATCGCCTATGAATGTGTTGATTTAAAACGCGATAGTCGATAGTACGATGGTGAAAACGCGAAATCACGAAACTACGATGGTGAAAACGCGAAAGCACGATGATGAAAACGCGAAAGTACGATGATGAAACCGCGACAGTACGATACTACGATGATGAAAACGCGATAAACTATCGTGTTTTCACCATCGTACTGTCGCGTTTTCACCATCGTAGTTTCGTGATTTCGCGTTTTCATCATCGTACTGTCGAGTATCGTGTTTCAGATCAAACCATTCATAGGCGATGGCCCTAACGGCATTCCGGAATGCCGTTAGGGCCATCGCCTATGAATATGTAAATCTGAAACGCGATAGTCGATAGTACGATGGTGAAAACACGAAATCATGAAACTACGATGGTGAAAACGCGATAGTACGATGATGAAAACGCGATAGTACGATGATGAAATCACGACAGTACGATGGTGAAAACGCGATAGTACGATGATGAAAACACGACAGTACGATGATGAAAACGCGATAGTACGATGGTGAAAACGCGATAGTACGATGGTAAAAACGCGATAGTACGATGGTGAAAACGCGATAGTACGATGATGAAAACACGACAGTACGATGATGAAAACGCGAACTCACGAAACTACGATGGTGAAAACGCGACAGTACGATGGTGAAAACACGATAGTTTATCGCGCTTTCATCATCGTAGTATCGTACTGTCGCGTTTTCATCATCGTACTTTCGCGTTTTCATCATCGTGCTTTCGCGTTTTCACCATCGTAGTTTCGTGATTTCGCGTTTTCACCATCGTACTATCGACTATCGCGTTTCAGATCAACACATTCATAGGCAATGGCCCTAACGGCATTCCGTATACTATAGAATTCACACACTTACTATTTTGGTAGTATGAAGACAATATTTTATGAAAAGCGTATTTGCTCCTCTAGTTAGCATTTAAATAAGTGTCTTTATTTGTGCTCCACTTTGCCTTTGCACTTATTGAATAGAGTATACATTAACTGAAATTGGCCTATCGCTTACTTGGGTTCAATATGTAAGTATAACATATGGCGATTTATTTATATGTTAAGCTGTAACTGATGATACATTTTTTTATTTATATTACATGTAAGTCTATTATACTTGTATTTTTGCGGCATACAAGTTAACGATATCTACTTGTACTTTGCGATATTCACAACGTATAGCAATTATCTTTATTTCTTATTTAGATTGCCACTGAAATGTTCGATCAACAGATAAAAAGGTGCTTATAAATAAACATTAACATGTGATGGTGTACAATATTGATTTACATGCTATTGAACACTTTAATGATTTATTAGGTATAGGAATGTTTTACCACAATCAGGGATATAAATAGGCACTTGTCACAGTGCAATATATAAGGTATGCTATTGATCGGTTATTTCCAAGAAATTGACATTTGTAAATGCACTATGTACATGTATATTGTAATTGTTCATTGTCTCGTTTATAAAGCTGCAATAGTGAACACATATATCTGTTAAGCTGAAAGAACACTCACAGGATCTATGTTTGGGTTAATCCTCAGCAGAATCCTTGCTTTTTTCTGGAGTTTTCTACATACAGATGTCGTCTGCGTCGCGTTGAACATACCATCGATGTTGAGGAGACACCCATTGCGCACAGCAAGCTCAATTTCCCATAATTCCTTTCCATTACCATTCAGCACAATATTCTCAGGTTGGAAACCTAGCTTTAACGACAGTTCAAGTTCAAAGCCACTTACCAAAGTTAACGAACACCCAAGACTTTTAATAATCCTCACTAAACTTGGGTTAAAGTTCGCCTTCAAGGCGTAATTCAACTGGGTATTCCTTTTTAAAGCACTCAAGGCATTTTGGTAGCTGAGCACATTTTCTTCTATTTGTGACTTGCTATACACGAAAGCAGGCGTTACACGAGCTATTCCTTGATTTTTAAGCCACACTTTTATTTCACCTACAGATACATTTTCACAAAATAAAAACCCATTTTGATATTTAAACGCTTTAGAAAAATAATAATTTTCTTCCTGCATGATTATATAAGTTGGTCAATATCAACCATTAACGGTTATTTTAAATCATCAGCATGTTCAAAAACACGGTATGGAGTTCATACGTACTGTACAATGTATATAGTTGAAAAAAAACTATGTAAATCAATTCGTTATTGTAAAACGCCTGTGACAATGAAAAACATATTTAATATCGTTGTGAAAATGATATAAAACATGTAAAACAGCTTGAAACAGACATTAAACAAGCACGTGCACTCAAACGCAAGCATCAATGCGTTATATATAGACACAAAGGCAGAGAATATATACATATATATAGTATATTTAAACTTTCAAACTTTTCATGATCATATAAACATCTCGTGAGAAAATGGAGGTTTCATATATCTGACTTTCCTTCGATTTCGTGTACAAAATTTTAAGAACTTGGTAAATATTCATTCATTTATTTGAGACATAAGCAAAAATGTCAAATTATACCATTTCATAGTTTGTTTTATGCAAGCAAATGTTATAAATTATCATTTCATCATACAAAGAGATAAACCTTCCACAATTAAATGAATCATAGTTAAATCTTATATAATTATATATAGGGTATGTTTACGTTTGATGCCACACCACCAACGAGTTTCAAATCGCGTATTGATACCTTTACATGTACTTATATGCTGTCTGTCTCAAATTTGTATCACTTTTTATATTTTTAATGTTTGCCCGATAAAAATGCATAGTACACATTGTGTTAATGTAATTGAAACATACGCTAATTGAAAAACAAATAACTTTATCACTGACATTTCAAACCGAAATAACAGAGTAAAGTACAGATAACATTTCATGTTTGCGATTTTAAAAGGCGTATTATAGATATGCACACATCTGATAACCTGAAATACGTGCTTCCGGGATCGGCTCGAAATCATAACTAGGTCACCGATTTCTTCTTATAAATGTACACGCACACATAATTTGTTTGGCATTATGCCGTATGTAATTCGTTCAATATATACATGTATATGTGAGATTTATATGTTTTATATGATCCGCCCATTGATGTAAGTACGTCTACGTTAAAGTGGATTGGTCTAAACTAGGCAGATTTTCTATAAGTAAATTTCAAATATTGATACAAACAATAGAAATGTACCATTTGAACATTCTTAAAAATATTGCTAGACAAAAATGTATATAAATTTCTAAGCGATTAAATTTGAACATTTATATGATAAATAATAATATTTTGTTCTAAATCAATTTATAATCTGCTATAAATATATGTGACATCGGATCACATGTGTCCGTTTATGATTTTATTGGTTTGTAGTTATGTCTGATGTTTTAAGAAAATCTATCAATTTAATAAATCATTGTTTTATTATTGCCCTTCCATCATAGACCAATTCACTTTAATGTCATAAAGGTTAATGTCAGCATAAAGCTATTTGCCTCACTTATTGTACAGATATGATTTAAACCAGATCAAGTTATGCGATTGAAAGGAAGACCTAGTTTAAATGACATAATTATTGAAGCATGATCAACCTCATAACCAGTGAATGAGATATGTCCAGACACCGTTTCAGTTATGTATGTCATGTACTCGGGCTAACTTAACCTCAAGGTTAATGTGATCTGCCCTATAAAGATAATCGGTCATGTTGTATTACCCGTACTTAACCCTTATAAACTGCTAATTTTATAATGGATTTGAGCTATTTTGAATTTGGAAAAGTCCATTGAAGGTTTAAGACAAGTATCAAATATTAAAATTAAGTTACCAGACTGGTCAGACTATACGGACGTACAGACTGGTGCTGCAAAGGCTGATCCATCCTCGGTAACCCATGCGTATACTTCATTCGAATGTAGTCCAGCAAAATCAGTACCTGTAGGTTCCGACGATGAGACTGATCACGTGGTAAATTATTATCAGTCCTAGTTTGCTTCCTTACTTGTTAACAGTATATAAACATGTCTACTCCCTGTTAAGCAAGGCTCCAAGGGAGGTATAGTGATCGGAGGTTGAAGGTGCATGTACATGTAATTGCCAAACAGGGTGCACATTAGATTGTATAGGCTCGTAAGACAGGTTACAGTGATTTCGTTTAACTATTGTATTATTATCTCTACATAAAACAAACAGTAATGGTGTACATTTATTATCTTTATATATACAGTCTATGCAGAAAAATGAAACGGATTGAACGCCAACCCTGAACTATATTTCAGTTTAAACCGAAACAGTTGTAGAAACCTTAGTAACAAAATATTTCCATTCAAATAATCTGATTTTCTATTTAAAAACAAAAGAACCCCGACATTGCGACAAACAAACAAACTAAGAAACAACTATGATAAAATAGCTGAAGATGCATAACTCGAGCAACAACTAATATTGTTGATTAATGGAGTTGCGGCCCTTCCGTTATAGAACTGAATGCGTCCAGGCCTTTATACGAAGCTGCTTATGGCCACGTGTCTTTTTACGTAGATAAATGTGGGGAAAAACATTGTAGAAGATCCCTCACTTAAAACAAAATACTAATTCGTTGCTATGTCGGAGAAAATAAAGAAAAGTTCCTTATGGTGCAGAAAAATAAAAGAAAGTTTGTTAAATTCGCTTGTGCACAAATAATGTATTATTATAGCAAGAATATAATGGCGAGAACTTTATATATATTCTAATGACCAACAAGAAATGTATGTAATACATGTATATATTATAATGGCGAAAGACTAATATATATTGTAATGGCGAAAGACTTACATATACTCTAATGACGAGAATCTTATGTGTATTCTAATGGTCAGGGCCGTGTTTTATTGAGTTGCTCCACCAATTTGGTAATTATATGTGCTAAATGTATTTTACAGACATTTCATAGTTTTATCTTTACGTTTATATTTACTTATATACTATTCCGTATGAATTATTTTCAACACGCACAAATGATGAAAAATTCGCCTTTTTCTGTATTGAGTCCATATTTTGGTAATTGTGCGCCAGACGTATTGTAAAAATAGTCACCTCTAAATACCCATTACCGAAACGAGGAATGACACGAATTCGCCACACGATTCTAGATTCATTATTTATTAACTTTAAGGTGCAGCTTAAGAGTTCAGTGTCATAGACGACTTGGTTGTTTCCCTATTTGTTCTCCAATTTACAAACTCACGTGAAAACTAATAATTACAAAAATGGAATTAGAGACGGCGTGGAAGCAGTTTCTTTAAAGAGCATGGACAAGAATATGGGCATAAGTGAGAAAAGCTTTTACAAAAATGTAAAAGCTGTATAGTACTTAAGGACGGTATCGAGCCCTTCCATTTGAATAATTAAGCACATGTGCGCTCCATATCTCTTATCAAGAAGTTAGTGTCTGTAAATGGTTTTATAAACAGGCTTATTCAAGGAGCAGGTAGAGGATGTCATATTCAAGCATTGTTCGACGTGTTCAAGTGAAAAAATACATTTCCAAGAGGCTGTATTTTTCTGTTTAGTATGATGATATGACTGAAACATTCTAGTAGTTTCATAATACCATGCACTGTCGGAAAATGATACATCTAGACGATTCCATTTAGAGTGAGGCTGCGTCATACTCCTTACATAACTTTACTTAGAACGAAACTAAAATGGCGTAAATCTTTCGTATTCCTTTTTAAACGGCATATCAAGCTGTTTTCTTTCATATAACCTTACCTCAAGGCAAGAAAAAAATCCGAAAGATTTTTCCAGAGAAACATGTAAAAATGGTTAGAAATGAAAATCTTAAAGAACGGCCAAAATGTTACAGGCACTGTTACTTGACTTATTTCATTATTTCTGAAAAATTACTACATGTGTGATTTGAACCAAATAAAATGTGTGGCTATGTAAATGTTACGCAAGAAACAACGTAAAAATAAGTCTTTTTTGTCGAGTTGTATACATGGATAATAAAAAGCCATTTTATGTAAAGAAGGTAGGAATTGATTAACAAATAAAGATTTTTTATATATAATTTGGTCTATAAAATATTTATTTTCTCCCACGATTTTCTTTCAAACGTGCATCAGTGAGCAGTAAGTATGACATAAGTCGATTATGAGATTAAACCTGACAAAAATTATAAACCATTTTATTAGACAATGTGTCGATTCCTGTTCCGAAATTATTATTCAAGTCAACGTGAAGTTCTATTGGTAATCACAGATATCAATTCATCATGATTGAAAGGAAAATTGCTAAAATACAGATTATAAAAAGCATTTTTCATGTTGTGTCGTTATTATAACGCCGTTGAATAACATCCATCAATCTGAAAGTGATATGAGCAAAATTGCAATTCTCTCTGGTAATGAATTTCAAATCCATTTTTGGGGGACAATCTTAAATCATTAAAATTACCTTACTTCTAGTTATACATGTACTATTAATTTTTAACATAGTATGAGAAAATATTTCCAGACTGAACAATATATGAGCCGCGTCATGACAAAACCAACATAATGGGTTTGCGACCAGCATGGATCAAGACCAGCCTGCGCATCCGCGAAGTCTGATCAGGATCCATGCTGTTCGCTTAACAACCCTATTACAAATAGACAAACTGATAGCGAACAGCATGGATCCTGATCAGACTGCGCCGAAGCGCAGGCTGGTCTAGATCCATGATGGTCGCAAACGCACTATGTTGGTTTTGTCATGACGCAGCTCATATACAAATACCATGTAAAAATGAAAACACAGATTAACGAGGAAAGGTGGCCTTCAATAAACGCATCTTTCAACACAACCCAGCAACACAGGACCACCGGCACGGAACTCAGCAGGACACCAAATAAAAACGGGAAAGGGAACAAAGGAAAAGCAAGGACACGTAGTATTACATTTTCTTTCAAAATAGGAAACCATAGAAACCGACAAGGATATAAAAGGAGACAATTGATTAAAGAAAACCCAAAGAATCAAGATGCAGGGAAAGGGCCAGAGGATGATGCAGGTAAGGGGGACCTCAGGGGCATTTTCATGCATTATTTCAGGCACGACTGGACATTGTGGAACCACCAATCTAGCTGGATAGCTTCC